AAGTAGACCGTTTGATTGTCCGAAACAATAGATGGAGATCTTTGTAGTGTGATGTTACGATAGTTGCTTGTTCAACGTTCCTATGAAGTGGCCCATTAAAGTTTGTGTAAGCACCGAAGGTTCTGTTCATGTGATATGTACTCCCTACACAGACAGATGTATGTACTAAGAACTCGGGGTAGGATTCTTTTTGACAGGAAAAACATAAGAGAAGACAAAAGCAGTGCGAGTAGCAACAGCAATTGAAGAACGATTAGGCTTGTAAGATACAACTCAAGGAAGATGTGCAAATGATGTATTCAGTGTATTGTCGTCATATCTTACAGATGCGGTGTGTGGTTTTACTTAATATAGTATGTTGATTTACTCTACCTGAGTCTTTGTTCATTACACTAGTACTGGCCATATCTGTAGCTTTACTCTTATGGATGATTTCGATAACTTCTCTTCACAATATCCTCAATATTTGGGCAATGTAAGCTTCCACAGGCGATTAATTTCAGCACTAGGACATGAGAAATGCACCTATACTTGTTTCGAAAATCAGAGTCCAGTACATTAATTAACCATTTTTCGAGACGACTAGCTGCACAAACTGGAAAGCTTTTCTTAAATTCTAAAATTAACAAATAGGCTTATGGCCAGGAAGTAGTGTAAGCAGTTGGAACTTGTTAGTCGCCAAAAACCAGGAGACTTCAATTCTTTTGAAATTGTATTCAGAGCGTGTAGGTGTCCGTGTTGCGTAACAGACCACTTCTTCACAATCGTCGAGAAAAACATGAAGTGGCCGCCCTGATACTACGGTTTGATTTATTAACATCCACAGGAATTTCCAGCTATGAGTATCGTAATGGTATACTCAAAAGATATGTATGAATATCAATAAAGAGGTTTGATCCTACAATTTGTTTGTTTTTTTCATCCAAGTTGGTACGTAAGAACATAGACATTCTGTGGTGTGATACTTATATCGGCATAAGTAGTATATAAAGGGATATGGATATACATAGAAGTTATACGACTATATATATATATATATATATATATATATATATATATATATATATATATATATATATAACTCCGCCTGGAGTCCCTCTGGGGGCTACTGCCGGTCCCAAGCCCGGATAAAGGAGGAGGGTTGGGCATGGGGTTAGCGTCCCCATCCCGTAGAAAAATAACTCGCTAAAAAAACGCTAACCAGAAAAAATTATTCAAACCTTTTAAACTCTGCCCTGGGAGTCAGAAGATCTTCATTTAGAAGAATTATGACGCCTCATGATGAAAGCCGAATCCCTTCGGAAGTTATGAGGCCGATGCCCCTTCTGACAACCAGAGCGACCATTTATTTAGGTACATGGAATGTTCGTACAATGTGGGACACCGGGAGAGCCTTCCAGATTGCTGCAGAAATGAGAAGATACAACCTAGAGGTACTTGGGATCAGTGAAACACATTGGACACAAGTTGGACAACAACGACTAACTACAGGAGAGCTCCTGTTATACTCCGGCCACGAAGAAGAAAATGCACCACATACACAAGGAGTTGCATTGATGCTGTCCAAACAAGCACAAAATGCACTTATAGGATGGGAATCTCATGGACCAAGGATCATCAAAGCCTCCTTCAAAACAAAGAAAGGGGGCATTTCAATGAACATCATTCAATGCTATGCGCCTACCAACGACTACAATGAAGACGCGAAAGATCAATTCTACAATAGGCTGCAGTCAATCGTCGAGAAGTGCCCAACAAAGGACCTGACCATTCTGATGGGAGATTTCAACGCCAAGGTTGGAACGGACAACACTGGATATGAAGACATCATGGGACGACACGGACTGGGAGAAAGAAACGAAAATGGTGAGAGATTTGCAAATCTATGTGCCTTCAATAAGCTGGTCATAGGCGGCACCATATTCCCACATAAACGCATACACAAAACCACATGGACTTCACCGGATCACTCTACACAAAACCAAATCGACCATATTTGCATCAACAAAACGTTCAGGAGGACTATAGAGGACGTGAGAACCAAGAGAGGAGCTGATATAGCATCAGATCATCACTTACTGGTCGCCAAGATGAAATTGAAACTCAAGAAGCACTGGACAACGGGGCGGACAATATCACAAAAGTTCAATACGGCCTTTCTCCAGGATACTAATAAACTCAACGAATTCAAGATAGTCCTCAGCAACAAGTTCCAGGCCTTTCATGATCTACTCAATGGAGAAGGAACTACTGTGGAGAGCAACTGGAAGGGGATCAAAGAGGCAATCACTTCAACATGTCATGAGGTCCTGGGTCACAAGAAACACCACCACAAGGAATGGATCACTGTTGGTACATTGGACAAGATTCAAGAAAGGAGGAACAAGAAGGCAGAGATCAATACCAGCCGAACAAGAGCAGAAAAAGCCAAGGCACAAGCTGAATACACGGAAATAAACAAACAAGTGAAGAGGAGCATCAGAACCGACAAACGTAAATATGTGGAAGATTTAGCAACGACGGCGGAAAAGGCTGCAAGAGAAGGAAACATGAGACAATTGTATGACACGACAAAGAAACTCTCTGGAAATCGCCGCAAACCAGAACGACCAGTGAAAAGCAAGGAAGGCGAGGTAATCACCAACATTGAAGAGCAACAAAACAGGTGGGTAGAACACTTCAAAGAACTCTTGAATCGACCAGCCCCACTGAACCCACCCAACATCGAAGCAGCACCCACGGACCTCCCAATTAATGTTGGCCCACCAACAATTGAAGAAATCAGCATAGCCATCAGACAAATCAAGAGTGGCAAAGCAGCAGGACCGGACAACATCCCAGCAGAGGCACTAAAAGCAGACGTAGCGGCAACTGCACGGATACTCCACATTCTCTTCAATAAGATTTGGGATGGGGAACAAGTACCAACAGACTGGAAAGAAGGACTACTGATCAAAATACCGAAGAAAGGCGATCTCAGCAAGTGTGATAACTACAGGGGCATCACTCTTCTCTCAATACCGGGAAAAGTCTTCAACAGAGTATTGTTAAACAGGATGAAGGACTGCGTAGACTCACAACTTCGTGACCAACAGGCAGGATTCCGTAAGGATAGATCGTGTACAGACCAAATCGCAACTCTACGGATCATTGTGGAACAATCAATTGAATGGAATTCATCACTCTACATCAACTTCATTGACTACGAAAAGGCATTTGATAGCGTGGACAGAACAACACTATGGAAACTTCTTCGACACTACGGCGTGCCTCAGAAGATAGTCAATATCATACAGAACTCATATGATGGATTACACTGCAAAATCGTGCATGGAGGACAGTTGACAAAGTCGTTCGAAGTGAAGACCGGTGTCAGGCAAGGTTGCTTACTCTCACCCTTTCTCTTTCTCCTGGTGATCGACTGGATCATGAAGACGTCAACGTCTGAAGGAAAGCGCGGGATACAATGGACATCTAAGATGCAGTTGGATGATCTAGACTTCGCAGACGACCTGGCCCTTCTATCCCAAACGCAACAACAGATGCAGGAGAAGACAAACAGTGTGGCAGCAGCCTCAGCAGCAGTAGGTCTCAATATACACAAAGGGAAAAGCAGGATTCTCCGATACAACACAGAATGCACCAATCCAATCACAATTGACGGAGAAGATTTGGAAGATGTAAAAACCTTTACGTATTTGGGCAGCATCATTGATGAACAGGGTGGATCTGATGCAGATGTGAGGGCGCGGATCGGCAAAGCAAGAGCAGCATATTTACAACTGAAGAACATCTGGAACTCGAAGCAACTGTCAACCAACACCAAGGTCAGGATTTTCAATACAAATGTCAAGACAGTTCTACTGTATGGGGCAGAAACCTGGAGAACTACGAAAGCCATCATCCAGAAAATACAGGTGTTTATCAACAATTGTCTACGCAAAATACTTCGGATCCATTGGCCGGACACTATTAGCAACAACGTACTGTGGGAGAGAACAAACCAGATCCCAGTGGAGGAAGAAATCAGGAAGAAGCGCTGGAAGTGGATAGGACACACATTGAGGAAAGCACCCAACTGCGTCACAAGACAAGCCCTCACATGGAATCCTGAAGGTCAAAGGAAAAGAGGAAGACCAAAGAACACATTACGCCGAGAAATGGAGATAGACATGAGAAAACTGAACAAGAATTGGATGGAACTAGAAAAGAAGGCCCAGGACAGAGTGGGTTGGAGAATGCTGGTCAGCGGCCTATGCTCCATTGGGAGTAACAGGCGTAAGTAAGTAAGTAATATATATATAACCAAATGGAATGATTATTCAACACATGCATACGAAATACTTATTCTCGATATCTTAATGAATAATTCAGATTAACACAATATTTAGTTAATTGAAACCTGGTCAATTTATCAAACGGCTATATGGCAAAAGGCTTTTTACCACAAACAAATAAAATGTTACAAATTTCAAGTGTCCGGTCAAGGTCACTCGGACTTGGAATATCTAAGTATTTACCGTTTTTATCAAATACATAGCACACGTCTGTGGTCGACGTAATTCTCACTTTTTCAAATGCCAAAAGAGTGAAACTTGCTGCTTCCTAGATCACTGATGCCGTGGAACATTTTAAATTCAGAGATTTCAGAACACGATTAGTTGTGTTACACCTTAAATTTCGACGAGGTATAAAAAGACAAATTGATAAAACTATTCAGAAGTAAAACAAACTGCAAACCTCTGCATTGCGTTTTGCATATCCTACTTGTGATTGGGAAGTAATGAGAAATGAGTAAAATTGTAATAAAATGGTGAGCGTCTGAGATGTATACGTGATTCACCAAGATCGTTTGTGGTGTAACTAATTTGGCAACCAAATGCCAGTGACATTGAACCAACAGTACATTATCTTGAAACTAATTTCTAAAATATATCAGGGATTCCTTCGTTTTCTAGAGAAGTATTCCCTTAGAAAGCGTTAGGAATTCTGTGGTTATTGATAAAACACAAATTTATTGTTAAGCAACGATGAAATATCTTGATTTCCCATCAAGAAGCAGACATCACTCATGATGATATTGACCTGCTTCCGTCGAGTTACATCTCAGGTGTTGACAAACAGAAACAGAGACTTTCTTCACATAAAAACTGAAACTCAGTAATTAATGGAAATGCATGTGAAAAAATCTTAGTTTAAAAACTAGGTGTTTACTGTACTAGAAGTTAATATAATTAATTCACGTCACTAACAACTAGTGTGACACTTAAAGTACAAACCTAGTTAAACAAAATTCAGAGAACTGCAACATAGCTTATTGACATTCCAACACAACATTAACAAAGAACCAGGTGTTAGGAGAAAGAATGAAAGTATCCAAGTAAAATGATAGTTGCGAAAGGAAATCTCAAAATTGATATTAATGATTCAGACGACTTAAACGTTTTGATAATCACTTGGAATTAATCATACAGAAAAAATAATTTACGTAAATTTTTAACGAGTTTAAATTATAAATAAATCCAAAGTAAGATATAATAGTCAAAAACATTATGCTTAGAACGCATTTTAAGCGTGGAATAGTTTTCCAACAAAACATCATATTCATGTCATAAAATATTGATATAAGAGTCAATTTTGGTACGATGACGTTGAGAAACGCATTCCGCAATCCAAACAATGTTTCTCATTTCTTGTTCCTTTAATTTAAGAAGGGCATAGAATATACCATAATGAAACTGCTGTAAGAAGGCATCTACATTCAATTGGACCTAAAATGGATTAGTTAATTAGGAAATTTTGTTACTAAACAAATCAGTAAACAGAAAAAAAGTGAACTTTAAGTTTGTGAAGTCGTGTGAAAGTTTGTTGGTTTGATCATTTAGCCAGATCAGCTGCATAAAATAGTAGAAAGGCTTTTGTCAATTTAGTTGTCCTTTACCACAACTTGAGGTGCCATTAATGGACTCATACACTAACGTCACATCCAATTTTGTTTCCATCTGTTAGAATGAAAATCCTAGACCATGTTGATGACACTGAACATTTTCCGATAATCCAATTGGTTGATGAGTAACTTCTCTCTCTCCCCCCTCTCTCTATATATATATATATAATAATTATTATTATTGTCCACGTATGACCTGGTCTTACAGCTTTGGAGGATGGGAGTTCTCATTAACGTTTTCCTCACAAGACAATGCTTGCTGTGAAAAATAAAACCAATAGCACACTAGATGATTATTCTGTAATTTTCCCTATAAAAGATATACTGCTTCGATTTCTTTTATTTAACTTTTTTGAAATGATAATTAATACACAATATTATTTCCTTTGGTGGCATCAAAACTGTACTGAATAAATTTCAATTCTAAAGCATAGACCTCTTTTAGCTATGAAATACAAACACAAGAAGGATGTTACATACGTCTACTAGAATATTTCTGCGAGTGAATTTCTTGTAGTTATTTTCGAGATTAATTGGTGATTGTGCTTCGGTGCTTGGAGCGTTTAAAGGAACAGCCTACTGTAGGTAAACAAAACATACCCATCTATTTCTAGTTGCGCAGCTGAAGTTCTACATTCTGATTTATGAATTATTTAAAACAGCTGAGATAATAACGAATTGTGAATACAAAATGGTAACTAATTTTCTACTATTTCGATATATGTCTTCTGAATTATCGTTCATGCACAGTTAATATGAGAAACATACAATTATGGGGGTAATTACATGTAACCTCAGTCCCATAAATGAACCTGTTTAGATATGTGAATATTCTAGAGCGGAAAATTAGGGGACACAACTCAGTTTATTCCTTCTTGCTATACAGACTAAAATATGCCTAGGCTAAATAAACTGCGAGAAGGAAACAAGGAAAACCGATATAAATGAACATATCTTACTTCATATTCAAAGAATTTATCTTCTAATGTCTTATCTCCAAAGCCCTCGCCAGTTTCTTCAAACAAGGAGGAATAGTTCTGAAAAACAAGCACAAGTGGAAACGTCGCTCATAAAAGTTCAGTGGAAAAATTGTTATGAAATAAAAGATACTACTGAGGCAACAAGTGATGATAGTAAAATAATTTTATATCATTGGATGTATTTGAAGACACGCATTCAAGAGCTTTGTATAACCGTGTAATTATCTGAATGGTGGTTTTGGCATAGCAGTAAATGAAATCAATTTCGGTATGATGAGAGCCAGATAGGCTAATATCACCTTTTTAGGCCGTCGCGAATTCAATCTGGTCGAAAAAGCAGGATGTACCATAGGTTGGTTAGTCCTACTTTACGCTTTTGGGAGATGGTGACGATCTTTACGTTCAACCATAGTAGATGCTTTAGAACCGCCCATATCATGTGAGTAATCCCAGAGTCTGACAATTTATTTATAAGTAGTTGAGTTGGTAGTTTGATAAACGTTGCCATCTCGAAGCATTCGATTCAGTGGTTTATTTACGCTTAACATGTGTCGTCCCATAGATTTTCACATCATGTGTTAACCCGAAATCGATCATAATGGTATACTCATTAGCTACCTCTAAATCGTGAGCTGTGTCATGCCATACTTTTCATTGTTTGTTATTTTAGGCCTACCACTGTAACATGTGGTACTGTTTTCCCTCTGTTTATTATCTCATTAGCTTTCTTCATTGAAGTGCCGATCCGGGGTGCAGCAACTTGGATGGATACATATTCGTGCTAGGTCCTACTTTCTCTATGGTTAGGAGGCTTATGGTTCGATATGATGGAAAGAAAAGTCAATTTTCGATTGATTTACTCATTATGAGTTTTGTTCAACATTACTTCCGTTTTGATTCAATGTGACGATTATTCACTGTATTATTTGTTTTCTTCTGTCGTATGATATTTTATTCAGTATAATATACGATATTCTTGTATTCCATTGACACGAACTATAACCAGTCTGTGATTTGTTATAACTCTAAGTATTTTTCATATATGTGATTTCATCCTAATTATTAATCAAAAATGGGTGTACATTCAATATATAAATGTGTTTTTCGACTAAGGTCGTCGTCGTCGTGTTTGGGGGGTTAATAAAGCTTCATTTATCCCAGTCTTTGTGTTCTTACTTCGCGTCGTGGGGATTGCAGAGGTCCCTCGTTCGGAGTATAAGTGATAAGCGTTTCCGACATACCAAATAGCGACGACCAGATATAAAAAGTAGCATTAAAAGAACCAAAACAATTAGCATTCAAACGACAAAACAAGCAGCATTCCACTGACAAGTTATAACATGGTTAAATTGAACAGAAGTGATGTTTAGTTTGTGACAGTAAAGACGTGAGATGAAGGGTAGGTTTGTAGCGTACAAGTAAGAATATGTTTTAAAGATTAACTATAAAACGAGTCTAAACAATTAATATCATGAAATATAAATACTTTTGAAGGATAAAATTAAGCATAATAACTAGTTAGTGCATGCTCTATAATAAAAAGCTTTGATCGTGATTTATTGAAAACTCGAGATGTGACCTTTCCTGTATTACATGAGAACGAGTAAGGTTATCATAATTAGATTCTTGGAAAGTAATTCCGACTAAAAAATCTTAAACAGCCGCTATAAAGTTTAAATCACGCATGATGTCATGATTTCAAGAACTGATGAATACTGTATTTCAGATTGATATTTTTTGGATTCAAGGGATACTTGTAGAAGTTATCTATCCTTTTATAATCCAACGTAATCTTTTGGTATATCAGCCGCCAAATACTAAGTTATAACTATTCACTTCCCTTGAAACCAATCTCTGCCCATTTGGAGCACTCGCAGTTTGCATGTTCAAATATCTAGTGCTGACCATTTGAAAGTTGTATAATACACTTGAATTCTATACAGGTACTGGAAGTCAGTACACATAAGTTGCTAAGAACCATGTAGCTTGATGAATATAGTCCAACAATTTAGTCAACTAATAGTTGTGAAAGAGATTTGTAACCAGACCCTGTTATAACTTACAAAACTCAGCACATGCTCATTGCTGTGATGTTTCAAACCGATCCCTTTTCTACATTGAAGTGATAACTGAGTTCGTTCGTCTTGACGACAACAATATCTACAAAGTGAACCAAAAGTACTTATTACCTTGAAGTTTCAACAAGACAGAAATGACCAATATCCTACAATTTATTCCCAGTTCCGGAATCGTACCAACTGCTTAGAAAAATCCATAACTATACCTACTAGCAAAATTTGTATTAATAACTAAATCCAGGAAATAAAATTTCAAAAAATATCTTGACAGTTTTATGGTTTGTTACGTGAATGAGACATTGACGTTCACTAATCAGAATTTCAGCTCCAACCGTTGCCGCTACCTTGACGTGATGGTCGGGCTTGCCTATCGTGATGAATCAATCGAGCTGTACTGGCTGGAACAATTCTTCCTCAAAGTCCTACCATGCTAGACAGGTCGGTAAGATTAAAAGTAGCAAACCCAAGGTCCGAGGGCGAAGTCGTACTGCTGACTGTACAGAGGTGTGACGGCAGTAAAATGTTTCCGTCAGACAACCAGCATGAGAGCGATACTGCCTTCTCGCAAGGAGGGTTGGGGCTAGAAAAGGTCGACCCTAAAAACACACACCTCGCCTTATCCCACGGATTTCCGTCTCCGGCGGTAAGGTCCCAACAAGCACGGAGCTAACACGAAAATTATTCACAAAAAGGTCGTGTGTGACCGACCTCAAGCAGTTCTTCATTGGGCACTGCGGATACGCTCTCAGGTCACTAAGACCACCCCTAACCCAATTTTCTTTTCAAGTACCTCTGGAAGAACCCTTCCACGGTGTGGACAACAGGGAAGTAATAACCGCCCTCACACCTCTAACAGCACTCAAGATCACTGTATTCATAATCAATCTCCCTCTTCAATTAATATTATTCCTCTTACTCAGACTTTCAACTCTAAACTTCCTCCTCAAGTGTCACCACGGCCAAAGATTCTAGTAAGCGAAACACTTTCCCAGGTCTACTGAAACCATGCTCCAAACTACACATCAGAACCCTCAACTTATGCACCCAATGTCAAATCGGCCAACAGGCCTTCTTGGCTAAAATCCCAGAATCTCGTACCACTGATGTATGCTGTCTCCGAAACACATACACATGATCCTAGTGTGGTCATTCACTTGACCTCACCACGACAAAACGGAGAGCCGACGAGATACACCATTCTTTCATCTGGCGACCAGATGACTAGTTCTTGTAGACTGGCGGGTGTCTACATAGCTCTCGAAAGGATAGGGACACATGTCGTTGTCTTTTCGTCGTTTCCGCCTACACTCCCAGACTGAAGTTCAGATTAGGCGAAAGATGACTTTTACAGAAAGGTTTTTGAACTTCTTCAAAAAGCTAAAAGCTCAGACATAGTACTCGTATCAGGTGACTTTAATGCCCAAGTGAGACATTTAAGTGGGTATTTTAGTATTCCGGCTCAACGAACAGATAATGGTGACCGTCTGTTGCATCTGTGCTCAGACAATCGTTCATTTTTACCAAGCACTAATTTCAAGCATAAGGCGAGACACTGTCTAACATGGCGGCGACCCCTTGCACCAAAATAACGATGGACTCAAACAGACCATATTGTCATCAGTGATCGTTAGAAGCTAGAGAGAAGACTCCCGCTCGTTCTGGAGTACATGTTTACGATGTGATCATGATCTAACACGAACACGCGCTTGCTCGCGCCCTAATGGACGCAGAAAAGCCACATTAGGATCAATAAGAGTTGAAAAAGCCAAAGGTAAATTCCAGGAACAAATAAAGTCACACATAGCCTGCACTCCATCTCGAAATGCTCTCAAGAGGCCACGTGCATACAAACACTGTCAGAAAAGTCCTACTCACTGCCTTTTCGTAGTGGGGGTGTTGTGTACGAAATCGAGAAGACGAAAAGCGAATGTCACGCGTTTGAACCAGGTTGGTGGATACGGAGGATCCACATAGGGTAGTTGGAAAACCCTGATTCCTAACCAACGATGCTCATGGGTTCCAATGTCCTGAAAGAACAAATGGCGTATGAACCAATTGTTGGTCGTCGACTACCATGGGACTGCATTTCCTTACGTTGCTCCACTGCCTTGTGGATTAAATGTTTAGGTCAAAGGCTCGGAATGTGGCTAACTAAGTAAACCACCTTTTTCGGTTTAGGCACCCGGGCAGTATCCCAGCCCTCATACGGTTCGAACGATTTATGTGCCGCATACATATTTGGTGCTCCCTTGTACCAATGTTTCTATGTGGAATCACACAAAGGTAATTTTGAAAACATGGTTGACCCAGATGTTGCTTGCAAATACATACGAACAGCTGTGGAAACAGCAGCGAAATCTATTAGTGATTTAAACCAAACGTTTACGAAAAACCAATGGGTTTCCGCTGCATCTATTGTACTGATAGACTCGCGTAAACTTATCCCATCAGGCTCCGAACATGACGATGAGCGAGAACAAATCAGATATAGATTAATCAAAAGACAAAGAAACGACCGTGAGCAGTGGGGGGCAACGAAAACAAGAGATAATGGAGAGGCAGCTGCCGTAGGTAACACCAAACAGCTTTATATATAAAAGAAAGATTGCATATAAGAACATAATACAAGAAAGAACTGGTTCGTAGAAAGAAAGGTACAAACCAGTTTCAATCTCACGGTTTAAGGGAAGACAGGGAGTGTATACACCGACGCAATTGTGATCGGTTCGGAGCCATGTCATCCAGTCTCCACCTATTAGTTACGATGGCCGCGCGGATCCCAATCAAGTAGTCTGCATCCACCAACACGGCTAGGACTAGAAGCTAGTGACTTCAAGCACTGATGCCACGTTTTGGTTTGGCCGCTCCTCAATAATTATCGGACGCCTAACTAAGACTCGTAAACTACAAATAAGAGGAAACCAGGCTGGCTTCAGACCTGGTCGTAGCTGCATCGACCACATGTTCAACATTTGCCGA